GACGTGGAGTGTAGGTGTGAGTACCTGCGTCCGATTCTGGGAGCTGCCGTCGACCTTCTTTCCAGCAAGTCAGAGTTCTAATCGATATATCATTTAAATCATTCTGTTACCTCGATTTATTAGTTATTAACTGATGTTTCTAGTGTTAATACGGCGTAAATGTCAACAATCATTGAATGAAGAAACTTTCACTGTGAGCATAAATTATCGATGATCGCGGCGGGGGATAGAAAAATCTTAATCTTTCAAATAGAAGCCGACAAACGGTCAAGCTCAACTGCCAAAGCCGCCTCGCAGCAGGTTTTGAGTTGGTTTGAGCCTGGGATGCTTGGCGAGGGCCGCGTGGCCGCAAGTCAGGGTTCGAGAGAACAATGAGGGAACAATTCATATACTTAAATTTAAAATGTACTGAATGATAAAAAATAAATTAAGCTCAGGTTCTCAGTCCAGTATTATTCCGAACTTATTTCAGGCTGGTTCTTACTCTTGATACGCTTTTAATTTACCTGATTAGACTCAGTCCAGTGTTCACTATTTAGAAAATATTCATTTTTGTGGGCAAGTATATCAGAAAGCATAATCGGCGAACTGGTCTGAGCTCTGAGGCTGAGAGTAGTTGTTGCATGTGGAGGCTGGACATTGACTCCATAGCTATTTTGAGAGTTAAATTTGTGTCTCGTAGCGGAGCGCCGCGACAGCGATAATCGTGGTGAAAGTTCTACAATACTATGCAAAGAAATCAAGACTATTGCTAAATATTCATACTTCAGTAAATTTTATTCTGATTGTTATTAGGAACAAATTTTACTAAAATCACTTTTTGAATTTCCACCCGTACGTTGGTGGGTCAAGTCAAAGGCATCTGAATAATCATAATTAATATCATAATTATTATGATTACAGTACATTATAATAACAATTTTACATTAATTACCTCTTCTGATTAGGAAATTTTACTATTAATAAACTGGAAATTGGGTTGCATATTTTATACGGTTGTGTGGCCTCCGCGGTCTTTTTTTTAAGTTCTATCACTTGTAGCATTTTGCCTTTTAGAGAATTGTTGTTACTCGGCATTTGAATTGCAAATAATAAGTCGTAAAGTTTAAGTATTAACTATTGAAGAATATAAAAGAAGCACGTATACTCTAGTCTTTAAGAGTATTATAAACAATCTTCATGTATTAAATTTAATGAAATCAGGCGACTAACTTCAAATGAATGACAACGTGAACAATTCCAACTCTAAAATGTGGGGAATAGCTAGGAATTGAAGAATTTCTTCTGCATGAATGTGGTTTAAAAGTTCAGTGTTGGTTGAAGAGTGAGCACCAAGAGTTTAACCCAGTGGTGAAAGTTCAGAGTACCGAGATTGGCGCAGAGAGGCGCGGGTTCGATCCCAGCTCTGTGCGCCAGTTTCTGGTCAGAATCGGCGAGGAGGCCGGGCGGTTAAGCACAGCAGAATTGTAGCAGTGAGTTGCGAGTTCGAGACCGCAACGAGCTGTGAATATTCTGCGGTGCTAAGAATCGGCGACAGGCCTACGGCATAATAATAATAATATAATGATATAATAATAATAATGATATAATAATAATTATTATTATATCAAAAATAAATGAAAAATAACTTCGATATGAAATGAAAAAAAACTCTGAACTAACGTGCGCATAAAAATTATAGATTTAATGTAAAAAAAGCCTTTAAGTATCCTGTGACGTTGGATTTTTTTTTCATTTTAAAAGTACTGTTTAATTGAATGTTCTGGAGGCCATCAATATACTGATGATTATAACAATATTTATTGATAATAAAAACCTCGTGAACATGTTCGTCCAGTGACATTTTCCACACACACACAAGACTCTTGTGAATTTTAATGTTGTCAGGTAAATTAAAAAATGTAATAACAAAGAAAATTTCCTATATGGTTTCATTGTAAAAGCCGGCGGCACTCGAACTATGTTTGGCATATAATGTAAAACCGAAATTCAAAATAAACCCACATGATAAAGCGCCGAAGTATATATCTCGCATTCATTATTCTCAATGAAAATTGCTTATCATTTCAACATGAATTTATTTTGATCACAAAGGTTTGATTAATATTGAAAAGAATCGTGATTGGGATCAATAGTGCAGTTGAATTCATCTGGTAAGTTGATATTATTCATAACTAAGTTAATGATAAGAAATTTTAATGAAAACTCATTTCATTCATTTTCATCTTGCATGGGAGTTAAGTCAATATATTACGACGTTTTTTCCTAAGTAGAGACCCTAAAAAGGTTCTTGATTACAGGCGGATTATTGATACTGAACAAACTGGCATAAGTTCCCAGAAAAGTCTCTCTAATGAACGTGCATTGAGTTCATTTGCGGGTCCATCATGGAACAAAGACGCCGTGCACCTAAAGCCTTTGTATGGTCATGAGAACGTCAGTCTTTGCAGTGTCACCGCGACGGAGGCCGTCAGTTTTACGTCTATTCATTGAGACGTAGGGTATTCACTGCCACACAACGGGCTGATTGACACGTTCAAAGATTTTTAAGAGAACACATTGCTTATGAATGAAGAGATAATTAATGAAGCGAAAAGATCTATTTTCTATCAAATCAGGTCAGTTTTCATTGCAGGAGCAGCGCAAAAAATTAAATACTGGGTGGCTAAAAAATCTGTTACAGAAGAAAAAGATTGACGCTTTTGTTCTGTTCAGACAGTGAGTTATAGGCTTTGCAGTATAATGTGATAGCTTGGTTGGCAATGTATTAAGAAACATGGAGGCTTGGCAGCGTATAAATAGTGCGGGAAAATAGTCTGAGCATCAGTTTCCTTCCAGACATCATAAGGTGAGCTTCATATGCGAGTGAGAACGATTACACTTGTACGCCAGCATAATGGTCCGTACATGTGCACTAATGAGCATAGGTAGCTCATTAGGTACTCCGAGCATGATATACCCCTGAAGGTAGCCTAACTGCCTCATTATAATAAACTTGTACACTAACTCCCCCACCATGCACCCTAACTCCCCCACCATGCACCCCAGGCATCCAAACTCCCCACCATTCACCCTAACTCCCCCACCATGCACCCTAACTCCCCCACCCTGCACCCCAGGTTTTCCCGCTACACACGCCATGTCGCTGAAGACTTTCCTCGCAGCAGCGCTGCTGCTCGTAGCCGCAGCCAGCGTCGTCGCCGGGGCCCAAGTGGGCAGCCCAAGGGACCCGTGCACTCGCATCGAACAGATCATCGACAGTGAGTCAATTTCACGCTTCAGATTTCCAATCAATCGAGCAAATATCAGGCAAAATTATATACTAAACTTCCGTCATCAATTTCAATGTTTACGTCGCTTTATTCTTCATGTTTTGATTATTTATAATGTAATATTGAAAGCTGCCTTAAAGGTTTATATTTTGGTAGAATAAAATAACGATACCCATTTGTCATCTGGATCATAGGAAACGCCGACACTTCTATTCCATTCTATCATATAGTTGGATGCAAGATTGCATTAAAATACACTTTCAGTTTTAAAATGATAATCGTTTTATGCATCAATTCCTGACAGAAAACTGTAAGGGTTTCTTCATTTGCCGCAACGTCAACGCCAACGGAAACTACGGAGCTGCGGACTGCAGCTACAACAGCGGCAGCCCGGACTACGCACTCTGCTTCTACGCATGCCCCGACGGTTTCTTGTACGACTACGAGAACAAGAGATGTAAGTTCCTAGTACCCTTATTACTTGTAGAAAAAAGTTAGCATTTTCAGCTGTTAAAGTGCATAATGATTCTTTTCCAGTCTTACATCATATTAGAGCTGAAAATGCGCTATTATTTTCGAATTGTTAAAAATAAATGACCGTTTTTTCATCAAAAGCTGTCAGAGGTTGATAATTTTTTTCTAAGAGGTCGAAACAGGGGGAAATTTGTGTTCCGTGTCCTGGCTTAGATCGCCATATTTGTGACCAAACTGAAATGAATATCAGAGCAAATCTCGTTCATAATACTACGAGCAAGCGCGCATGCCCAACAGTGTTAAATGAGTAATGCGTTCGGTGTTATGTAGAAGAAGGCCGATAAGTTTACTTTAACTTCAAATTCCTAACTAAATCATCCTAATGTAGTTTATCTAAACGATAATATAAGTTTTTTTAAAGACCGTAAAAAATATATATTTTTGAAATAGGCTAGTGCATACAAAATGCATAAGCATAACTATTTTGGTTTATTTTTTTCACAGGCCGAAATGACGGCTTCACCTGCTAAAACTAAGCACCTTAAAACATCGAGGAGGAGGGTGACGTGTCACAGGCCAACGGATCAGCGACGACTAGCCTTATGCAGCAGCATGACGTTCATCACTTGACCAATTGTTAATTTTGCACCAACAATGTTCTGGCAAAAGTTTATAGCCTGCTGAAACTTCTTCGCGACGATTTTGCAGTCTATCTGCTAAATTCATTGTCAAGTTTGACATATGCGATTTGCATCGCGTTTATCGTGAAGTGAAGCATCGCTGGCGTGTGATGCATGTTGTGCTAGGTCAACTGGTTCGTGAGCTACCCTTTTTATTTTTTAAACTCTGATGCCTATATCATTAAAATTTAACTTAGAAAGCAATACTTTCATTCACCAAGCACCTTAATTCATGTTTAGCAATACGAGAGTCGGAGGTAAATCAGCTTTGTAGTTCTGGGGAAGTTTGAATATTGAAAAACAATTCTGTCACCGATGCGCTAGCCAATTATCATCGAGGTTTCTAACGAACTCCGCCAATCAACGACGTGAACTGGCGCTCTAGATCATCCTGGAAATTACGGTGAACAAAATAATTGACAATTGTTTAGAATCCAGCATGCTGAAATTCAAATGCGACTAACCAGCAGCTTCATCTCAAGGATTCATTGTTGATATTCTCACGCTATTCGCTGCAGGGATTGAAAGTTCAAAATAATCAAGTTATACTTGAAATAGGACAAAAATGAACCTATTGAACTGGTTAACGTGTAATTATAATCAGTTTAATACTACAAGAAAAACAAGCCCCAACGATGTCTGTGACGAGGACGTACGAACTAATAGAAGTGATGTATAAGACACACAACACAATACACTCGCTACTGTCGAGGTGTCATATAAATTTCAAATTTGAAAAATGTTTTAGCGCAAATGACTCTATTTAACGTAGAAAACTTACTTTATATTTGTCATTTGCCGTGTTTTGAGTGTAAATATATTGTGAATACTCAATTCGATTAGACTCGTTTTAAAAATACGGAGAAAGAACTGAGAATGTCTTGAAATTTCGAGGAAGGCACTAGCGTGAATCAAAAGGGACGTGAGACTAAATCAATGGGCAATAAATGAGAAATAACCTTCATGTTAAATTTCGAGGACTTCAGACGAGCTAAAACACGCACCACAGAAATAACTTGAGGGGGGAATTAATACTTGGCGATTCAGGAGAATATTGACTATTATTAAATACCTTGAAAATTTCCAAGGTTTTAATCCAAAATGATTTGAGGAAACATGGAATATAAGAAGAATAGAAGTTGCTAGGAAGATGCTGTACTCAGGTTTGTAATCTAGATGAACGGCATGTCCAGCAATAACGCAGTTCAAGTCTAAAAAAATAACCAACAAAGACTTAGAAGACAATAAAAAAGCTGCAAAATCGTCCGCAATATAAACTCATCAGAAAGAATAGATAATTATGAAAATCTATTCAGAGTTTAGCATTACCAACAAAATATTCCATCTTGTACCTTAATTCTAAGACAAACACCACGTACACCAACACCACGTAAACTAGCAGCAAGTTTCCCCAGATAAGATAAATTTAGGACAGTTAAATTTTACATAAAAATATAGTGTATATAATGAGAAGAGAATCAAATTCACTGAATATCGAGGGTTTTACACCGGAAAGATTCATGTTTCCCATTATAGTTAAATTATTTGAGGGATTCTTAAAAACTTAAGAGTTCTGATGTGAAGCTCTTATGTCATATTTAAAAATATTGAATAAAGATGAAAAAGATCACTGGTTACCGTCCAATTAGCGAGCCTGATGAAACTGTCATCCCACATTGTCTATACTAAAACACACCACGAGTTTCAAGGCAGTGTTGACCACCTCATAAACATTCAACTCAGACATTATGCTTCCCGACATCAATACAGATATTTGGTCCCATCAAATAGCAAGAACCAAACAAACATCTTATTTATATCACATACAATTTAAATAATTAATAATTCACCTAAAAAAAGGACAAAGAACTGAGTCATTCAGAGTAAATTTGGATCAACAATTTTAACTCGGCAACTACGAAATAATATCAAACCATCAACAAGTACTACATTAAATATGAAATCTATTAGAACTTTGATGTTTCTTAAGATGGAGCTTCTTAGAGTAATTTGTGCGTGAAGGCTCATATACTGAAATGAAGTTCGTTGGACACGTAAGCGAATCAAGCAGCAGGCAAATTAAGCAGCCATTTTTGACTGCAAGTTACTGGCCAGCTTATCCAGGAACTCGAAGGTGTTCAGGTAGTCGCTGCGCGTCACTCTGAAAGGTGAGTGAAAATATTACAAAGCCATCCAAGAATTACCCAAATAAAAAAATTTGATAAATCTGAAGATTTTATTAACTTTTCCAAAGTAGTATGCTTATACTAGAATGGTTTTTATTATAAATGGTCCACGATTTTCTTCAATAAAGTGACAACAACTACTAATGCAAAGAATGTCAAGGAAACGAAATTCATCAGTAATATCAATGATTCACGATGGTTTGAAACAAAGCTATTGTGAAATAGGATGTAGTTAGAAATCTATTCAAACTATAGCTACTGGAATATAACATTCCAATCGAAATAGGAGCAAGATTTTGTAATAGATCAATTTTTAGTCCATTTGCAGGCTTAAAACGCCGAAACAGGTCTATCCTAAATAACCGCAAGTTCAAGATTTGAAATAGTAAGGACTTATAACAAAACAAATGCTCGGTATTAACTAAGTACTGGGAATGCGGAACAACCAAGTAAAAATGAACACAATGGACTAGAGCAGTGGTTCCCAAATTTTTTCAGGCTGGCGCCCCCTTTGGCTCCCTAATGAATTTCTACCGCCCCCCACAGACACATTTAAAAAAATACGCCTCTTTCTTGAAATTTATTACTCTGTAATTTTAAAAGATAAAGGTTAAACACAAATGTGCATTTCACAAATAGAACCCCATTTAGTGAACCAATATGTTTTTCAGCTGTTTTAACTGTTTCAGCACTAGAAACCTAGAACGTCTCGGGCAAATTTACGGCCGGACTCGTGGCCGGTCTCACGATCAATCTCCAAATTCAATTATCAAGTAATATCTCCCAAACTAATGAACGCAGCTCAATGAAAATCGGAACACGTATTCATTAGGACCTAATGGTGATGTTTAGCAAATGAAATTTTTTTAAATTTCGCCTTCATTCGTGAGTTATATTGCGATAAAGGCCGAAATTCGAAGTGTTCAAAGAATTTCTTCCAAACTCCTGAACAGATTTTAACGAAATTTTTAATATACATTCCTAACTACCAAGCGGTGATTTTTTGGTTCATAATTTTTTTTATTTCACTTCCGTTTGCAAGTTTTTTTTTTCATTTCACCGTCAATCTTGATTTCACACTTCCTTATATTCGGCCGTTTCGCCGGGAAATTTGTCGCTTAAATTCGCGGCGATCAAGAAATTTCTTCTAAGCTACTGAACAGATTTCAACGAAACTTTGTATACCCAACCTCCCAACGGAGATGTTTAGCTCGTGACAATTTTTCTATTTTGCTTTCGTTCGCGAGTTATACAGATATAGGAGAAACGACCAGCTTTTCTACCACCCAGGTTTAACCAAGAGCCGTTTACGTATAGCCGTATAACTCGCAAACGAAGGCAAAATCGAAAAAAATGAAACGAGCTAAACATCACCGTTGCTGAGGTTAGGTATTTAAATACTAAGTTTCGTTCCAATCTGTTCAGTAGTTTGGAAGAAATTTCTTGGTTACTGCGAATTTAAGCACGTATTGCTGTTTAAAATCGCGAATGAAATTGAAATAAAAAAATATAACTCAGTATTTACTTCAGTGAGTGACAGAGAGCGCATTTTCTCGTCGACGAAAACGTGAAGTCACGGACAGACGGACGGGCGGACAGACAGACGGACAAGACGAGCACAAAAGCGCCTTTTTTTCGATAAATGAAAAAATGCGCTAAAAACTCGCGAACGAAGGCACAATCGAAAAAAATTTTCCGAGCTAAACATTACCGTCCGGTAGTTAGGACTGTAAATTCAAAATTTCGTTCGAATCCGTTCGGTAGTTTGGAAGAAATTCCTTGCTCACTGTGAATTTCGGCCCGTATTGCTATATAACTATGGCAAAAACAAATGAAAGCAAAATTCAAAAAATTTTCAGGATCTAAACATTACCGTTAGGTCCTAATGAATACGTGTACCAAGTTTCATCTAGTCAATTAAGTTCATTAGTTTGAGAGATATTCCTTGATCATTGAATTTGGAAATTGGCTGTGAGATCGGCCGCGAGTCCAGCCGTTAATTTGTCCGAGACGTACACCCAGGAGAGGTTAAAAAGACAAATCTGGGTGAAAAAACCATCGCTGGGAGTCATGCGCTGCACGTGTTGTGTACAAATCGTCAAACAAACGTTCGAACTTTTGTCTTCGACTTGCGGCCCCCCTATCACCCCCCAACCGCCCTTTTCTTCCTTATCACCCCCCAAAATCTTTCCACCGCCCCTAGGGGGGCGATATCGCCCACTTTGGGAACCACTGGACTAGAGGCAGGGAATAGGAGCTCCCTGAAGATATCGAAAATGAAAAACTTTATAAGAGAAAAATTGATGACATTCGAATACCAAAAATGAAAATCTAGAGGATATCGAAAATGAATACTCGTAAGAATATAAAAAATTAAGACCCAAGAATAGAGAAAATTGATTCACATTCAAGTATAGAAATAATTTCTAGAGATTAGGCTGAATAAGGAGCATGCGCTGACCCGTTGGTGCCCTTAATGCAGATGGCGAGGTCCTTGGTCATGTGGCCGGCTTCGATGGTCGCCACGCACACATCTTCGAGCGTCTCAGCGAAGCGCTGCAGACGCGCGTTGTCGTCCAGCCTGGCGCGGTGCAGCAGCCCGCGCGTCCACGCGAATATCGAAGCTGCAGCAAAACTCTGATTATGCATTGAAGAAATGAACAAGCTTCTGTGTATAGGTGGTAGCACAAAGAAAGGTAAACTTTGGATTGTGCTCTTGAATCTACTGAACTACTTGTGCTCTTGAATCTACAGTACTGAAGGAATGAACAAACTTCTGTGTGTAGGCGGCAGCACACAGAAAGGTAAACTTTGGATTGTGCTCTTGAATCTACTGAACTACTTGTGCTCTTGAATCTACTGTACTGAAGGAATGAACAAGCTTCTCTGTGTAGGCGGTAGCACAAAGAAAGGTAAACTTTGGATTGTGCTCTTGAATCTACTGAACTACTTGTGCTCTTGAATCTACTGTACTGAAGGAATGAACAAGCTTATGTGTGTAGGCGGTAGCACGCAGAAAGATAAACTTTGGATTGTGCTCTTGAATCTACTAGAGAGAAGAGTGACTTCGTTGGTGTTGGTTTGCGAAAACTGAATTAGATTTATGCTCGCATGGTCATGATTTTATTTACTTCACTTTTGAGGCAAATAGAATATTCAGTGAGAAAAGTGTGAGAATGGTTTACGAAATTAGATCTGTACTTGCATGGTAATGAATTTAATTAAAGCTCTCTTGAGGAAATAAAATAGTACGATGAGGAAGCAATTCGTATATAATATCTCGCCAATGGGATTGGTAGGGTTCTCCAAATAGTACAATGAAGAAGCAATTCGTATATAATATCTCACCAATGGGATTGGTGGAGGTCTCCTTGCCCTGCTGGTGCTGGCGGTAGTGACGCGTGACTGTGCCGTGCGCGGCCTCAGACTCCAGTGTGCGGCCGTCGGGGCATACCAGCACGCTCGTCATCAGGCCCAGCGACCCTGGCCACAATGTTCTCATATTGAACTAGAAATGAAGTCTTTATAAACGGATATTATGCACTTACTCAAATAAACTTTAGACCGGGATATTTTCGGTAGTCAAGTCCTCATTATGTACAGTGTTTCCATGCGATGACTTAATACTGTTCAACGCAGTCAAGCAGTCACGCCACATTTTCTGTAGCCAAGGCACCTCACTCCACATAGTATACTGTTTATCACTTACTGCTGTCACGCTACCTCTTCACAGACGCGTCTACTGCCGGGGGTTTTACACCAGTAAGGGTAAAACGCCCAACTGAAACAATATTACACTTACGTACATTCAACAGTTCGACTCACCAAAGCCTTGCGCGACAGAGTCGCTCTGGACGTCGCCATCGTAGTTCTTGCAGGCCCACACGAAGCCTCCCGAGCTCTTCATGGCCTGGGCGACCATGTCGTCGATGAGGCGATGCTCGTACCACACACCTGCTGCCTCATACTTCTCCTTGTAGTCACTGAGAGAGGTTAGGACGATAACAATTTTTCTTTGCGACAGTTGATGCAGAGATTAAGGTACTTAAAATACACTCATATATATTAAAAAAAATTTTTGTGAATGATCTGAAAAGATATGTGTCCTAATCAATTAACCTAAGCGAGTTTAAACGATAAAATTCAGACCAATAGTTTTCAAACATACCTCTTATATATCTCCTCAAAGATGTCTTTGAAGCGACCATCATATTTCTTGAGGATGGTATTTTTTGTGGACATGTAGAGCGGCAACTTGCGGTCCAGAGCAAACTTGAAGGACGAGTGTGCAAAGTCTCTGTAAATAAATTATAGTCAATAGTTTACATTGCAACATACAGGGGTTTGACAAAATAAGGGAAACGCCTGAGAAATTCACAAAATATAATGAAGTATCTGGTGTGGGTCCACTTTTTGCGGCAATTACAGGCTCAATTATCCGAGTTGGTATTGATTCATACAAATTGTGAATTGTTTCCAAAGGAATTTTAACCCATCCTTCAGTTAAAAGTCCCTCCAGCTCTTTCAAAGACAATGGCGGCGGGAATCGACTTCTGACTTGCGTCTCTAAAATCCACCATAAATGCTCGATAATATTCAGGTCTGGTGATTGTGTTGGCCAAATGAGATGCTCAATTTCATCAGAATGTTTATCGAGCTATTTTTCGACAATTCTACTGCTTAAATCGGGGCTTTATCATCGCGAAAGATGACATTCCCTTCCTGAAGCAGTGCTTGAACCATTGGACGGCCTTAGTCCTCTAAAATTTATAAAGTTGAGGTTAGAATTAAAAATCATTGCTCTGCCAGATTTCCAAGAAATAAGACCCCATATCATCACAGATCCCCCGCCATGTTTTACGTTTGGGAGGAGGAAGCGGAGATTAAATGTCTTTTAGCTGTCTCCAAGCGTAAACTCGACCAGAGGTTGGGAATAAGGTAAACGATTCGTCAGAGAAAATCACATTTTCCACTACACCACTCACACCTAGAAGCAATTGTATTTGAAATAATATGTTTTATAATTGCAGCTCTTCCAGAGACTCAAGATCTGTGCAGCTCTCGGCGGACAGTCTTTATGGAAACTGGGTTCTGTAGGCGTCCATTGAGGTTTTCAGTAATTTTAACAGTCGTGGTTTTTTGATTGTCCCTCACGATTCCATTTAGGTATCAAAGGTCTCTCTCACACGACTTCGACTTTCGGTCAGAACTGTGCTTTTCTGAGGACGTTTTTCTTTCTCTTCCAAAAGCAGTCATTACTTTTGAAACTACCTCTAGAAACGTCAAGCATTCGGGAAGTTTTTGTCACACTAGCACCTGCCATACGGGCACTAACAATTTGGCCTCTTTAGAAGTCAGAGAGGTTTGCAATTTATATGTTAGGTTATAGACACAAAAATTTACTAAAAATATCTGGGCATGGATAAAATATTAATTAGCAGCAACAATAAACAATAAAACATAAAAATATATCACGTTTTCATTGTTTATAACATGTTAAAAAATTACGATATCAAAATGTCAGGAGTTTCCCTTATTTTGTCCAACCCATGTGTTATATGTAGCTAACATTTTAACCTAATAAGAAAGAAGAGGTTAATATTGCAACAACTCTGGTAAAAGTTAGTACATGCTGGATAAATCCAAAATTATTCCAGCAAGGGTTAATGTTAAACAATTGTTGTCAAGATACGTTTTTTTTTAATTCTGAATTGAAAATCTAGAATTATATAACACTGTATAAGGTATGAGTAAAGGTTGTACAATACCTAACATGGTTTCACAGTTGTACATAAATCAGCAGGATAAAAGTAAAAGAGCACGTTGCATTTTTGCACAGCTCACCTGATGCTCTCATCAGTATTGAACATTCCGAGAGCAACGCCAGCGCCCTTGAAATCATTCACAACTTGAGAGATCACCTGGCCATCTTGCCCAGTGAAGCTGAGAGTCAGCTGACCAGGGCCTGCATGACGCGAAAATTATCAGCATACCATTCAAATCATGATGAATTGCCACCAAATGCATAAACGATTACTACTTGTGAAGGCTGTAAGATTTAACACATGACCATTTTTTCTAATACATTTGTTGTCTGCCATGAATGATGGCATTTTGTAATAAAATTAAAATCATATAAGGCCTGAAAACTTCATTCAACCATGAACACCTCACACTTGGATTGAGAGGGAAGTGAAAGAAAGGTATGGTTAAGGTAAAACAGTGTATTGGCAGTTTGGCACACACAAAACTCACCAGGAACAACAAAATCCACACACTTGTACTGGTCAGCATGAGCATGTCTGCCAATAATTATGGGCTTCTCCCAGCCTGGTACAAGCCGAGGAATATTCTTACAAATGATGGCCTCCCTGAACACAGTGCCGCCAAGGATGTTGCGAATCGTGCCATTTGGAGACCGCCACATCTTCTTCAGCTTGAACTCTGCAAAAATAAAATTAAAATTGAATAAAATTGTACAAGGGTAAGCATACTTGAAAGTATCCTTCTGAAATTCTAAAACTTAGTGGACTGAATTTCACATGTATAAAAAGCATCCATTTAATAGCAACATATTTCAAGTCATTTCTAGGTATTGCTGCCAACCTTCCACTCTTTGTTCATCAGGCGTGATGGTGGCACACTTGATCCCAACATTGTACTTCTTGATGGCATTGGCACAGTCAACTGTAACCTGCAACAGGCAAGATCTCAGGTTATATCAATGTCAATTTTCGAGTTACTTCTAATTCAACACTATAACCTTGATCAATTAATTTGAAATAATGACTATATACTGCTAACATTCTTAAGTCTACTTACTTTACCATAATAGTCAAATTTTTAGGACAGTGTAAACTGTAAAGAAATAAAATTTTATTCTCTTTGTTTTGAATATCTAAGCTTTGTTGACCTAGAACCAAAACATTTGAGATAACCAGAAAGTAAAATTCAAATAAATGAATATTTTTAGCTGAAATGTTTCTCACACGGGCATTACTTACCTGATCATCTGTAGCATCTCTGTTTTCAATTCCCAGATCATATGTATGGAGTTCCACATCAAGGAAGGGGAGGATGAGCTTTTCTTTGATCAGGTCCCATATTATACGAGTCATTTCATCTCCCAAAACCTCCACAACAGGGCCACCTGAAACCAATAAGCAGTCATCAAACATTGCCACATCCCACTTGACATTACAGGGCTTCACAAGACTACTCAGAAGTGTAAGGCTGGGTTCACACCATACAGCCAGGCACATGCCAATGGTATGAATGTGCCTGCAGTGAGTGAACCCAGCTTCACTGAGTAAATGTCAGATTGAAAAACATAAATCACTAGAATAAACAACAAGAGGAAAAAATCAATCATTAGGTTAGGTTAGAAATTCAACCACTTTCAGAACCAATTGGTTCACTTGGTCAATTAAATGCATAGTGCCAAACCAGATTTTTAACAATCAGTTCATTTTTAAATTCCTCATGTACTCAAGATTTAAACCAAATTCTTATAATAATTCTGATATCTATGATACTTTACTGTTCTATTTATAGGACTCATAATCACAAAAGAACTTGAATAAGAGTTCAAAAATAAAGTCTCTGCTATGACACTCTGAATTCAAATGTATGGTTTACAAAAGTCTCTTGACATTGATTGCTGATGTAAAAACTAGAAATGTGTTTATGCTAGTAATTTGTCATAAAAGTTGTATCCCCATAATAAATACTACCATCAAACAGGGAAACAAGGGATGGGATCATGGGCGGGGTAATAAGGAACAGTCCTCCAAACATTTGTAGAATTGTTGTAGCAGCCAAATTAATTTAAATATTGCAAAACAAAAAATAGTGGCATATAGTTCAACATTTTTTCTATCTATGTAGCATAAAGCAAGTTAAGAAATCATACATTTACCATCTCTAAAAAGTTCTTGAAAAAAAGTGTGAAAAGTGAAATTTTGGAAAAATACCGGTATTATTGCAGATTAACTACATCCAAAAAAAAGGGTGTTTTTTTTTTAATTATATGTTTTTTGGGGTGTAGATTACGAATCTGAAATCCATTTTTGGCGGTCGGCATCGGAAAACCGATTTTTTTCGCGACTTACTAACATGGGGGTTACGTAACTTACGTTACCCACTCACCTTTATTTACTAACATGGGGGTTACGTAACTTACGTTACCCACTCACCTTTATATAAAGGGTCGGATTGTTCATCGAAATTTTACAAAAAGCTCTTAGGTTGGGTTAAGTCAGCCAAGTTCCTTTTTTTAGATAGCATTTTGATCTAAAAGGAACCTGGGCGAACCAACCCAACCTGCGAGTTGGCGTTAGGTTGTGATCTCTCAATGTGGCAATGTATCTCCAGATTTATGGACAAAGAAGATGAAAATGTTACCCGTTGCAGTGCAACGGGTAACATTTTTGTCTTCTTTACCCGTTGCAGTGCAACGGGTTAGGCATTTTTAGCGCGATTTTTGGGTCGGAAAAAAATCGGTTTTCCGATGCCGACCGCCAAAAATGGATTTCAGATTCGTAATCTACACCCCAAAAAACATATAATTAAAAAAAAAAAACACCCTTTTTTTTGGATGTAGTTAATCTGCAATAATACCAAAATACCTCTGCTAAGGTCTGTATCAACAACAACAAAAAAATATATTCACCATATTAAAAAATTTTACTCACAAAAAAGTTGCACAAAGGTGTTGGCTTAAAATGTGATTGACAGAATTAGCATATCTCATTCCAAAAAAAATGGCAGCCATTTTTGCATGACAGGGTAATAAGGGAGACGGGAGTAGCCTGAGTCTGAGTGAGACCTGAGTAGGGACACCCTCCAGGGGCCCAGGGTAATAAGGGACCCCTCTAAAATAGAATTTACAGCAGCAAAGGTTAGCAAAGCCTTGGTTAATGGTTAGCAAAGCAAAGGCTCCAGTTAAAAAAAAAAACTTATAAAAAAACCTTATACTCCATTCTAAACATGGAATCTTAAAAATATTTATATTTCCTACAGACCTACATTTCCATTATTCATTTAAATGTAACTTATACCTACTTAATTTTAGAATTTCAAGTGACTATTGTCTAAGATCTAAAATTAAATTATTTAAATTCCTATGTTGGGTCCGGGTCGGACAGTTGGTCAGAAGTTCCTGTCCTGAAGAAGAGGACCAAAACTAAAAGCAGGTGCCCTTTGCCAAGACTGAAAAGTAGGTACCCCAAAGTCTAAACTCCAAGTCTCCAAGAGGCAAGAGCCAATCCTAGAATTGCAGTTTGCATCCCACCATGATTGTGATTAGAGCCTTATAGTACCCACGAATGATGTATGCCTACACAGCCTACTAGGCTACTACTATCCCTTATTCAGGTCCCCAGGCTCAGGCTGCCCCTGGGGCCCTGCCCCTTAGACGTTAGAGGAGTTTTCCTCTCCTGCTCTAATTGCTAGGCTTCATAAATAATCTGAGACACAGGGTAAGTAAAAACAAGATTACTATGATACAAATTAAATCCATGCTTAGACACTGGCAGTTTCAAATTACAATTTGGACTTTTCGCAGTGATAAACCTGAAAGTGAAAGGACATAGACTGGTGGACATTGATTAGAATAGAGTCGATGATAGACAGTTATTAATTTAGACACCACATGCAGGTGCAAATGACTTTCAAATATTCAACTTCACAAAAACACAAAAGACTTACAGTGAATTTTAGTCATAATGAAGATTCGATTACGGCAAAAATTCCAGTTAATAACTTCGAGTCTTCGACCAAGCGGCTATCTGCTAATTCTGCTTGGAGCTTGGACACAGTAACACACAACTGACAACTCCACGTCTCTCAAATTCTGCTCTCTGGCTGATCCGGTTCAGCTTTACACAAAAATATCATATGTAATTTGATTAACTGCATTCGCTTTGCACCGGTTTATAAAATAATGTTGTTTATCCATGAGCGCACATTTTTTAGTTAAAATTATCAATTAGAACACGTGAACAACTTTTTCATAGTATGATTGAAAATTGAGAATTTTCGAGTTTCGACGTTTGAAAAATGTTTCAAGACCTTATAATCTTTTTTGCCGAAAAATTATCTTTATCAGACAATAACGAAAAACTGTTTTCATAATAAAATACATAATTTTATACTTTTCAAAGATGTATTGGGTAGTGTAAAATGCGAATAATTTTTAGGTATTGAGGAAAATAGAAACGACTCTAAAAAACACGACGTATCATTTGTTAAATCTATTGCATCTGCGGTAGGACTACCTCTGTGAATAGGAAAGTCCGCAGTCATTTAATCGTTCATCGTATTGCCTGTGGCTGCCCGTGGACTTCCCAGCACAAGTTCACGGCATGTCCAGACTTGACATTCAACGCCAGCTCAAGTGCATGAGATGAGCAATAAAAATCTTGTCGAAATTGATATCGCCAACGAATATATAGGCGATATCAATTAACTGTTGTTTCTTAAGTGATGCCAGTATAAGAAAAAGTGCATTAGCAGCACGAATTATAGGTTTCATGAAGCTTAATGAAACTTTGCTGGGAAAATAAAATTTATACGTATCAAAATCTCAGATTTATAAATGGTGGCATCATAAATCGATCATTAGCCTCATTCATAAATGTGAATTGGAGAAAACACCGCAAAACTGCACAAGTGGTATCGATAAATTTTAAGAGACTCATTTCCGCGTCAATTTCATAGTTTTTGTGTTTATTTTGACGAGTTTTCACAGCCTAATCCAAAAGTGACGCGGCTCAAGTGAACGTATGTAGTACTTAAAAATGGCACCGTGAACTGTCTGTGGTACCGCTACTTTACTGTAGGAGTTAGATAAACACTTCCCTTACCTTAGTATTGAAAATCAATATAACTTCGAAAATCATGAAAAATTTTACTACCACCTAAAAACTTTACACCTCATGCCAAGAGTTAAGAAAACTCGTACAGTTAGAATTGACTTCTTTAGGGAGAAGTCTGCAGGGTTGTTTAAGTATGGTGAATTGAGATATATAAGTTGCAACTGAGGTTCCTCATCCTCTCCCTATTGTTCGTAGTATATAGGCATCACGTGGGGGCTTAAGTGAGAATCCAAAGGTTTAGTATGTTTATTGAGGGGATGAAGAAAGACGGCACGACCAACACCTGTGTACAAACATGACATAAACAAAAATGGAATAATGTTTCAAGAAATAATGAATACAATTACAATTCAGATATTATGAGGTTGAATAGCTATCTGACTTTGATTCAGAAGGTTGACTAAGCATAGCACTGACACAAAACGGCAGAAAACGATATTAAAAATAAATTGAGAGCAAGCCATGATATAGTTCTCACGGTTACACTTTGAAATATTTAATTACAATTAGCTAAATTTAAATTTAACGATCGGCTGAGCCTCTTACCCCGGAGTCCGGACCAGATGTTAACACCACGGCGTCGTCTAGAAAATGACTTAGCTAAACAATGCGCGATTGGCAGATGGTTCTCCACTGGCGTTCTTACGAAATTTTCACAATATTCTTTTTGGTACGATTTAACAAAATATTTTCGACATTTACTAAACTTCATCATTCCGTTATTACAAGAGTGTTATTCGTACTCGAAAATTGATCATTAACTACTGTATATTTTATAATGGTTTAAAGTGAAATTGATGAAATCCGAAATACGTAATCGAAATCATGATCATTAAGTAAGATATTGTTACAGAGGTCGATAATCACGAGTTTAAAGGTTTAATAAAATTAATTGTGGCATTCGAGAGAAATGCTAGTGCGAGATGTGAATTCGAGTCACTACACTTCTCCCTGATTGGCTTGGAATTGGGGTGCCTGCTGACCTCCGGTTAGGACCTTTAGATCTGTCATTCACGATGCATAAAAAATATTTTACTAGCATAAAAAATTAAAAGTTCACGTCGCAATCGGCAGTTAAGAAGAATTAAATTAATATGTATTCACTACAATTTTAAAAGACTAAAACATTTACTCATAAATGCCAGCATCCTAGAAATAAACTGAAACACTGTAGGGTAACATGGGGCAGCGAGCCCAGTGCGGGTCATGGGCCAAAAGCGGGTTTCCCGCTAAATATGGCAGATATTGGTCCGTGTTCTCTACCGCCGGTCGACAGTTTCACTGGGATGAAGTGTACGGATTTACGTTTTGCTAAGTGTTTAATTGCGTTATTAAGTTATTTGTCAATAACTGTTTTAGCCCAGATAATTTTTTTGCTGCTAAATAATACTGTTTTGATTACTGTAGATGAAGCTTTTGAAATTAATGTGAATTATATTTCGAAAGTAATATTTATTGGGATAATTTTGAGATCAAGTTTAGACTATTAGCTTTTAAAATAAAGTGTTGACACGATTTAAATTAAAATGATACCTACTGGGGCAACGGGCCCACGCGTGTCACGGGGCAAAGCGCCCATGGTGAAGTCTTGTGTTATGCATCATTTGATTTGTCTCAATGACTTTTTCAAAACTATGACTAGCTTATTAAATTACAAATTACACTTCATATTGCATGTTTTTTTATTTGCCGCCTCAAGGCATCAGATTCAGATTCTAGTTATTCGTATTTATGACCCCTTATCGAGTTATTGACTCTTGCCTTGCCAAAAGTTGATTTCAGTCAACACCAATGAGCCAAAAGTTGATGAGTTTTTATAGCGTTGGCTGAAATCACGATTAGGTACGAATTCTCTGCACATAATATCTCGATTATGGACGAAACTTGAAGGAAGTTTTTTTTTTGATCAACTAAATACATTTTTTCCATTCAAGGATACATTTTTTCATGTCAAGGACGGATTTTTTATCGCTAGGATATATTTTGTAAGTCAAGGATATATTTTTTTATGTCAATGAAATATTTTTCTTCACGTCAGTGATAGATTTTTTAAGCCAAGAGTATATTTTTTTCAAGTTAAGGATATGATTTATTGAGTTGTTAATAAATGAATGAATGTCATATTTTTTATTATATTTTTCTTATTTTTAAGTGTAAAGTGTTGTTTTTTCATTTTTAAACAAAAAATATACAATTGTGGTAAAGGGACCAAGGGTGGGCGCCTGTCCCCAAGGGTAGGGCAATGGGCCCATTTTGACACTTTTTACAAAATAGTGTTTCATTAAAAATTGAATAACCCTATAGGCGTCTAATTCACATCATACATTCCTCATTAGTTGTACCTTTAAACAAAACAAAGAACCATCTCGTATCAATTGATTCCTAATCAAAATTTTAGTTTAAAAAAAATGAGGGGGTGCGCTGCCCCATGTTACCCTACTAAAACATTCGGCACGTTACCTTTGCCTTCCCACCCTTCCCTCTCTCAACCCTCCACTCCTCAAGACCCCACTCTTATCATCCTCCTCCTCTCCCTCATCCACAACACTTTCTCCAAATATCTCTTCACACTCTCAAACTCTCCCTCAGACAGACCCACATTCATTGCCATCTTCTCTTACTTCGCTTGTTCTCTCATGCACTACTTCCTTAATCTCACCTCCCTCATTAAGGATCACCTCTATACTTGACTGACGCCCTCTCGTATACGCCCCACATTCCATCAGCAAGTGCTCCTGTTTCCGTGTCATCCCCATCCCACATAAAACATTTATCTTCCCTCATCGCATTCCACCTGTATGTAGTCCATTCACACCTAGCGCCCCTGCCTTCACACAAAAGAGGTCTCCACCTCTTCTACCATCATAAATACATTCGTATTTTGGCATCGCTTTCATCTGATATAATTTTAGGGCATTTTTTCTTCATTCCTTGCTTCCACACCTCCAGCCCATTGTCTTTCACTCGCTTATTCATTTCTCTCTTGCACTCTCTTTCATCCCACTGACCCACTCTATCCCAGCCGCACCCTGCACTGTCACCACCCATTCGTCCTTCGGCCCAGCCAAAGCGAACCTATATGGATGCTTCTTGCATACCACACTTTCGTACCACTGCACGACATCTACGTGCCCATTTGCTGACCTTTATGTTTCACTTATACACCTATCGTGCCCAACGTTCTTCGTCAATTTACTCGTCTCACTTTACACTGAAAAACTGATTTAATTCGTCTCATTTTAGGTACTCCATCTCATGTCCCCTCTCAGGGTCTCCACCGCAGTCCACCTGGGGGCTCCTAGAGCCAATCTCGCCACTCTATTCTGTACTAATTCCAATTTATCTAGCTCTTCATCACATCATGCTATCACATCCAATCCATACATAATACTAGGAACTGCCACTCTCTTGCACACTTCCCTCAATACTTCATGCTTACTCGCTTTCACTTTTGCTGCACTTCCATGTATACCAAACCATTGATTCGCCTTACTTAAATTCGCGACCTTTGTTCTCTCACATCCCTCTTGGTCCCCGCACACCTCTGAGCACCTAAACTCATTTGTCCTAACAATCTCATTCCCTCCCAACAGCCACACTCTGCCCATATTCTCAGCCGATCCATTTACAACAAGTACTTGCGTCTTCTTTGCACTGAATAGCACATTGAAGTCACTCATATACTCTGTCACACAGTCCAGCATACCTTGTAGTTATTAACTATTTCCACTCATAATCACAGCATCATCAGTATGCAGAAGGTATCAAGATTTTTTGGGAACATGGCTCCGAGTTTTTTTCCTGTACTTAAGGCTGCCACGGCGCAGCATGAATTTTTGATCGGTTGTATGTGTTGTTGTGCTAGATACGACACCATCTTTATATAAGTGGTAGATCAAAGAAACGAAAACGACTCGTTTATATATAATTAATATTCATGAGTTATTAATACACCTGTAAATAGTGGTATTTCACGTATAATAAACTATAGAACTAATATGAGCCACTCAAGAAAACAGTACATTGAAATATTACTATAGAATGAAGTGAAGTAAGGCAAGTTCAAGCGGCTCACATCAACAGCTGGTTTTATTGGCGCGCCAACAAGCGCAAAAGAAGTGGTCGGTTAAGTGGAGTTGAGAGTGGAGCCAGGCTACTGGGGACGCGGTGAATACACCTGTGGCAAGTTAGGCCACTGAGGACAGATACACGTGTGGCAAGTTAGGCCGCTGAGGACAGATACACCTGTGGCAAGTTAGGCCGCTGAGGACAGATACACGTGTGGCAAGTTAGGCAGCTGAGGACAGATACACGTGTGGCAAGTTAGGACACCGAGGACAGATACACGTGTGGCAAGTTAGGCCGCTGAGGACAGATACACGTGTGGCAAGTTAGGCAGCTGAGGACAGATACACGTGTGGCAAGTTAGGACACCGAGGACAGATACACGTGTGGCAAGAGGACAGATACACGTGTGGCAAGTTAGGCCACTGAGGACAGATACACGTGTGGCAAGTTTGGCCACTGAGGACAGATACACGTGGGGCAAGTTAAGTCGCTGAGGACTGAGATCTGATGCCGCTGTTTGCATTGAGATAATTTGTAGTCCTCTCGGTTCATGTGTAGTAAAATTAAAACAGCACATTTAACTTACATATTTCTAGTATAATGTTGCGGTGATTCTCATTTTTTTATGTTTGTATATAAATTGCGAACTTATCGTTATCTGTAAATTAACGATATAATTAATAATTTACAGAATTTGTATCAATGAATAGATTTGATAACAATTGCTCGGTAACGCGGCGACGTTACGCGGATCAGTTGTTACGTGAGTGATAAGTGGCAGGTTAACCCGGTCAGTTAATTAACACGAATAAAAAGTAATCTCATCGCTGCAGGTTAAACAGGGCAGTTAAAACGACTAGGGATGTTAACCCATCGTTCCAGGTTAACTCGGGCAGTTAGAACGACTAGGGAAGTTAACCCATCGTTCCAGGTTAACTCGGGCAGTTAGAACGACTAGGGAAGTTAACCCATCGTTGAAAGTTAACTCGGGCAGTTAGAACGACTAGGGAAGTTAACCCATCGTTGAAGGTTAACTCGCTCAGTTCACACGACTAGGGAAGTTAACCCATCGTTGGAGGTTAACTCGGGCAGTTAGAACGACTAGGGAAGTTAACCCATCGTTGAAGGTTAACTCGGGCAGTTCACACGACTAGGGAAGTTAATCCATCGCTGCAGGTTAACAGGGCATGTTATATTCGACAAGTTAACCCACTTTATCAACTTAACTCGAGCATAGTTAACCCGGCAGGTTGAGAGTTTGTTTCAGGTAAGCATGCTGGTATATCCATGATCCAGATTTTTGAAAACATTCTACATTATCTATTGCAATTGAAAGTGTTTTTTCTTTTCAATTGAATAATAATGATTATAAATGACTTTGTCTCATCCATTTAATTAATTAAAGAACTAGTGTCATAATCGGCTAAGTCAGTATAGAAATTTCGATGAATGTAAACTAGGGAATAACCATAATTATGTATACATAAATCGTGCTTTATTTAGAGACGTTAACGTATTCGTTTTTCGCCACTCATTCCGATTGAACTTGCTGACGTTTATAATAGCAACACTCTATTCTTCCATCTATTTTTCGGTATAATTTTTAATATTATCATCTCTAATTGAAATTGTACTTAAAAAACCATTGTTTAAGTAGTTTCTTACGTACATTGATCTCTCACAACAAACCCGACTTATACAGGATCGCAGTCGTCAGGTTATAATCTTGTTCGGTCCGCTTTTATTACAGCCATCACAGGCCCTCGAACCCCTCGTTAACAAATAAAAAATCGTCCAAAAAAGATCCCAATGCAAGCTAGGGTTGGTTTTGGTATCCGGGGGCGTTGGGATTTCCTGGTCACAAAATTGGGCTTGCAAAACCGCTTGAAAAAAAGTTTTCACGTTTTTTGTGACCATAGAAATCCTTGGAGATTGAATAAAAGATTTGAGCCAGACAATGTGGTTACTGTAATTATGCTTGTAAAACTAAAGGTGATTATAATGCTTTTTGATCTTTAGATTAATCTTTATTAATGGACAGCATTTATTATATATATATATTTTTTGTAGCCTGACGAGAACCACGAGTCCTGCCAGAACGTCCTTAACGTCCTTCATCTAGTCGTCGCTGGAGCCACTGAACGGAAAATTACATTTTCAAAAAATATATATTTAAAGCTTCACAAATTAGACAGTGCTAAATTTGGGTGAGAATAGCCATAAATTATATTTTGATTCATGGTAAACATTATTTTTTATACTCCCATAAGCGTTTTAAAACAGTCACATGTTATCTGTGTGAATGCGTCACGTGATAAAAAGCTTCAAATGTTTTTTTTACTAAGTCTGTCTCATTATCAATCTGCACAATTAGGCAGTGGATTATCACGAGTTAGGTGATAACTTTAACTCATCTTAGATCCACATACCACCGCTAACTAACATTGTACATTTCGATAGATTAATATAGCTTAATAAGAAAATTATCGATTAAACTAATTCTAGAGTCTTAAACCAAACTTGTTTGGAGCTATAAATTCTGCTATCTTATACTACTAATTCAATACGTGTTTGAGGAGCATCATGCAAGGTGACAGTTTCAAACAAAAAATTCAAGACATGTATGGAGAAGTTTCTCCAAATACTAAATTAAAAAAAAATTTTTGTCATATATTTCGACGGTAAAAATAAATTCGTACGGTAAGATACATATGAACATATAATATGCGCCTTAAAGATTAAGGCTACCTTTAGGCAGGGCAATTTACCTTTGATTTAAGGAGGGATGGATGGAATTTACGCTGCATCAAACATTTCAACTGCAGGCTGAAAATTAAGGACTGTTCTTCATTTCAAAGCTTCATCTCGATGTTCCAGACGAACATGAACAATTATATATTACGACTGTCATTTAATTGAAAAGGTTCTGTAGGAATTTCCGAGAAGCATTAGGTGAAAAGTGTTCGTACTTGCAAAAATTATTTGTATACTTACAGATTCGACTCATGGGTATATTTAGATTACTAATTCGACATGTTTGTGTCTTGAACTAAAATGGTTGATGCCTCAAAGTTGAGCTTGAGATCAGGGTAGGAGGTGCATCTAACACCGCATGTCTTTAATCCAAATATGTAAATAAATAATTTTAATGATTTAAAAATTCAAGAAGATCTTTCGAGCTCTTGCGGACGTTGAGCATGTAGTCTATCTCACGAACGCCGTCTCTTTTAGAATAATGAAAATCATGAATCGTACATATATTTTAATGATAATAAATCCTCATCATTTTAATCTAAATTACGAGAAACATAATAAAAAGTTCTGTAGTGGGAAATTTCAACCGTCCACGAAACGGGACGCGTTTTACTTGGGTTTGAGGTCAACGTTTCTGGTATTTCTTCAGGCCTTCATTAGTGTTTTTCCAGTCGATGAATTGCTTCAACAAACTGGAAGCTTAACTATATAGTCAAAACTATCTCATAGAGTTTCAGCGAATTTAGACAAAGAAGAAAAATGTACATAAGTAAGAATTAAATTTCGTAATTCAGTTTCTATTTTGGTGGAAATATACATAGTATTTTGAGGTTTCCACATTGAGGATGAATTTTAACGACCAAACGACGGAGCCACAGAAAACAACGAGCAAATTGATAAGAAGAATTACAATATCATATAGAAATTGGGCGGAAATGAAGACTATAATGGAAAGTCCTAAATTTTATTCCAGTATATTTAATAAATAAATCGTTAACGCATCAAGGAATTAAATTTACAGTCATGATTCGCAAGCTTTCATGTAGCGTTTGAGTTCTGAAGAAAGACTGCCGTAAATTATATATCGGTAGTCGGACAATTATTATTAACGTTCACGAGCTATGATGCTCTGAATTACTTGCCATCAAGTCCACAATTATAACCTGAATAATACTACGACATACACAAGCATGCACTCTCCCTGGGATATTTAAAATTATATTATCATAGATTATTGGCGTGGTGCATAAGTTGTATTCGCAGAGCATTACGCTGGCTACACTTTATTTCACAGCACGGTATTTTTGTACACTTTAGCTTTAGCGTACAAAAAGAGAGATCATCTTTGAGATAAATTAAAAAACTTTGTATGATGTGCCTAGAACAATGACAGCTTCTCATGAAATATGTTCACAATTACGCGCAACGATATCTGATCTGGCAAGAGAATTATTTATCATTTGTAATACGCTCATAAACAACTGATCATGCAAGGGAAATTTTTTATCATTCGTAATACGCCTAAAATTTCTTATCTTAATCGGTATCTGCTGGTGTTTGGAATAATCGGTTGGTTACGTTTATGCTTCTGACTGTCAATATTATTTTACTAATACAGCCGAGCCTGTGCCTTCATACTTCGCTTTAAATTTCTGGAGATCTCACACATTCCTAACATTTAATAGTGCGCTAAGGAAATTTACATGTAGCATTTCTGCATTAGTGAGGTAAGGCATGGTTCATCAACAAGTGGTGGACCTAGAAGATACAAAACCTCTTAACATTTTCTAGGTCGACTTTAAAATTTCTACTGAGTACACAATCGTACGAATGAAGATATTTACACCCAGCTTTTAAATCGACACCCAAAGATAGCTATGGAAACTCAAGCGCCCAACAGAGCGACGTTGATGGAAGCATGTGCTTAATATAAAAGGTACCTGCCAAGAGCAGCAATGGGCGACAATACGAGATCTTCACCCGGTGATCTAACAGCTGGATGAATAGGAAATATAGTCAAATAAAGCACGCATAAGTAAATGATTCACGCTCTGCTGGTCGGTTGAACTTGAACTTGACCGCAGGAGACATGAAGTAAGAAGGCCTTCAATTTCTCTCAAAAAAATGTCATAAGATGCACAATTTCCAATAATAATTATTATTTCAGTTATGTGAAAAGGCACTTTTTCGTCATGTATGATATCTGGAAGTGAAACTGGGACTAGAACGTCGCATGAACAATGTAAAGATATACGCATTTTGAAAGATTGAAATTCTAATGAAAATGGCGTTGACAAAAGGTCAAAATATCAACTGTGATGCTGCATATTTCGTCTTTTTTTTTTGGTACAAACACATTGTTTGACGTACGAGGTTACAGAATGTTGTGTGAACGCTACTATCAGCCTCGAATAATAGGATATAAGATTTCATACTTCTCTATGATAATCAAGAAATAGATCTTCCTTCGACAGCTGTGCGTCGATGAGTATTTTCAAAATTTGAAAAACTCGAAAAATGAGTTTGTTTGTGGACAATTTCTTCGTCGTTATCAAAGGGCTCGTCTTCTGACGACCTGTAGTCAACGACGTGGGTCTTCGTCTGGAACTTTTTCCTGATGGCTGATGCCAACTCATACGTCCAAATTAAGTGCAATACAAGCAGAACAATCGTGTACACTAAACATAACACAAGTCCAGGCCAATACTCTGAGTCTATCAAGTACGGGATTTGAAATACTGGCCAAATTCCTAGGACAGGGTACAATATCAATCTCGATACTACCCACAACACAGCGAACACAAAAACGCATGCGTCACTGCATTTTGTGTTTTTCGTATACAAAAACAACTTGCCGAGGAGCAAAGGGATATCAGAAACTTCGTGCGTTATTAAACCATGACACAAGGGCGCCACAAGGTTCAGCGAGAGACTAAATACGTAGAGAAGGAAAACCATGGAATGGTGGCATAGTGTTCGGTAGAATTCATTCACTTTTGGTTGAGTGAAATATGAGTAGGTGTGTGATAAGTAGTATCCACAGTTAGCCACCCAGTACCACCACACATCGGAAGTCGCACTTACGAAAGGGTGTTCCCTCAAAAAAGTTTCCGGTGATCCGAAAAATGGTTTAGGTATAATTATAAGCGCACCGGCTATCGTAAAACTAGTGTAGAAAAAAAGCATGAAAGCGCTCTCGTTGAACTTGTCGATATTACTCTTTTGCTGTGAAGCATACTTCTGTCGAAGCCATCGTTGGACTTTCCGCTCCGGCCATCCCAGTGATATGACGGCTGCTGCCAACATCTCCGCGGTAGGCTTGTTTTTGCTCACACTGTAGAGAGCTTCCAGCTCCGTGTTGTCCGGAGGATGTGGTTTCACTTTAGCTTCAACTCCAGCTCGCATGGCTATGGGTGTAGAGATGTAGGGGAAGAACACTATCTTCTTGAATGAATAATAAACCACACCGAAGATCGAAGCCCACATGAAAAACTCAAATAGATCTGGGAAACACAGTGGATCTTCCAGAGGAATATCAATCCATCTTAGTCTTCTCGGCAGCCACATCCACTCACTCCATGTGCGGTCCATAGCCGCTCACCGGTTCTCTGCAATTAAAAAGAAAGAAACAAACTTTGAATTGGTTTTATTAGTCGAACGGCCTAAAGTCTAAACCGATAAATAAAGTTATATAGGCATATGAGAAAAATATGACTTTTTGTTGTAGTTCTATTGCATTTTGAAAGTTTGAGACGCCTGACCACAGCGAATGTGCATTTTGACATTATAGTAGCACAGATAAAAAGAAATGAGTATTTAGTGTGAAAAATTTTAATGGTAACTGAATATGGTATGGTGAATATGGTTTATGATTTACTGAATAAAATAAATAGCCAGTGGTCATCACCAAAAATTGGAAATGGAAGTATTCACTCGAATTACATTCAAGCTGCCAATTTTCACTGCATTAATTAATAAAGTCTTCAATAAGTCACTAGATTCCGATGATGACCGTATCACGTAAACGATTGAATTTGTACATTATGTTCAACACATTTTTTGATGAAAATGTAATATCTCGTTTTTATTGGTTGCGTCTGCCTGTGTTAGAGGCGGTAATAAAAACTTGACTTGAACTCGTGGTATTTTTCAATGCGGTGAAGGTAAGGAATGTGCCTAACTGGTGTAATTTTAGGCAATCTTCTCTTAGAATGGTAAGGATTGTAGTAAGAATTTATTGTATCTTACGACTTGATTTATCCAAATTTTATGAACCCATGAAGTTGACGGTGTTAGCAAAGTTATCCAACGTAGCAGAGTAACCCATTATGCAACAAATAAAGCTCCATCGAGAAACACGTGTCATTTTTATGCAACAAATAAAGCTCCATCAAGAAACACGTGTCATTTTTATGCAACAATTAAAGCTCCATCGAGAAACACGCGTCATTTTTATGCAACAAATAAAGCTCCATCAAGAAACACGCGTCATTTTTATGCAACAATTAAAGCTCCATCAAGAAACACGTGTCATTTTTATGCAACAAATAAAGCTCCATCAAGAAACACGTGTCATTTTTATGCAACAAATAAAGCTCCATCAAGAAACACGTGTCATGTTTTATGCAACAAATAAAGCTCCATCAATAAACACGCGTCATGTTTTACGCAACAATTTTGAACTCCGTCCGGTCGTACCTTCCTCATTATTGGGAGAGCTAGAATACCATTTGTTAGGACAGATTAATACTTAATAGAAACTCTTTTACCACTTAGTTATAGTGATATATGTGTCTCATATACAGAAAATTTATATTAAACATCCCGAGTAGTAATTGTTAAAGGTTCCTTTAATTTGTTTTTTGATTTGACCAACTTTGAGCCGATTATTGGCTCAGATAAAACATTATTTAGGATCGCTCTCACTTCAAACGAATGGCGATACGGAGAGTTTTGACAAATTATTCTGAAATGCGATAATGACAGTTATATTACGTACTACTAAATTTAAAATGAAATCTATAAAACAAAGCTCTGTATCATAAATGTATTGCCATGTTAATGAGACTTGTAATGATGATAAATAGTCATAAAATATTGCTTCCCGCACGTAATGCTCCAAATGACTTCTTGCAGGTCATTCTGCGACAAACTCGCTCTCTGCAGAAGTTTCTGCTGACTCGACGTAAGATGCAGACTCGCCTCTGGCAGAACAGCCTTCAGCAACCCGCATGTGGTAGCCCCACCAGTTGTCAGCTGCAGACCTGCCTGTTACCGCCATCTGCTACAGACCTGTCTGCTGATGCTGTCAGCTACAGACCTGCCCGTTAATGCCATCAGCTGCAGACCTGCCTTCAGCCACCGTCAGCAACATACCTGTCTGCTGATGCAGTCAGTTGCAAACATGCCCGCTGCGGCCGTCAGCTAAAGACCTGTCGGCTGAGGAGATCGTGAGGAGATCATTGCATTCACTCCGGGTCCTTTTTAATGACCCGCGGTTGGGTGCTCGCTGAGAAGCGTCTCGTGATTTTATTCGGGAAGAATTACCGTTTTCCGTCTCACAATTCACATCACTTAATTTATTTCTTGTTGACCTCACTCAGAGTGGCGGGTAAGCCTGTTAACTTGTACTCGTAGGATGCAATTACTACGGTTGACTTTAGTTCACGCTGTTGGATTGCCGAGAGATATTAGGCCGCGGAACACTTGTTATATCTAACAGTATTTTGCTCGATATACGCAGTGGAGATGTGAACGGGGTCAAATTGTCGTTTTCCCAACGTAAATTTGTTTGGATATATGCTGGCCAACTCCACCATTAGTTTTCTTACTGTGGAAGGTCAAAATTGAACTTATAATTCCTTGTATATATGGTGATCATTCCAGGTGAAAGTGGGCACCGTGCCACCGTCGTTACCTTTCTTCCTTGACTCGTTTTCGTCGGAGATTTTCCCGAGCTTCCTGCTGAAGCGGGAGATTTGTGGGAAGAAAGTCTCCTGCTCATAGTTGGATACAAGCCTTCGTGACAGTGAAAAGTTTGTCGTGAAAACCTGTGTAACTGTCAAGAGGTAGCCAATGACTGAGAGGGTTGCGTGAGTGAACCCGACGCCAACACGGAGCTCTAACATTATGTTCTAGGCGATAAGAGTTGACGAAAGGACTCCAGGGACGTCTGTTCACGTATGTTCTGCTGGCTTCGCTGTGAAGGTCGAATATTCACCGGCCCGAGCATGGAAAGCAATTTTGAAGTTACAGGAGAAACTATTGAGAGGCCGCTAAAAATTCACGAGTTTGCAATACGGTTTACTTGTGTGAAATTAAGTCGTGTATTACAGGTAGGCGTTTGGTCCTAATCTTTTGGTGACTACTTGGTTTTTAGCACCCAATAAATCCATTAAGTTATCAAAGGTTTTTGTCACCCAATAAAGTTGTCAAGTTTTTACTTTTAACACTATCGCGCCAACAGGTGGCGGATAGCTTATATATGTTGTAGGCTCTCCTGCAACACCGTCAGTTGGAGACCTGCCCGCTACTGTCGTCATTTGCAAACCAGCCCGCAGCGGCCGTTGGCTAAAGACCTGCCATCAGCCGCCGTCACGCAGCTACAGACCTGCCTTCAGCCGCCGTCAGTTACAGACCTGCCCGCCGCGGCCGTTTGCTTTAGACCTGCCTTGAGCCGCCGTCAGCTACAGACCTGCCCGCTGCTGTCGTCAGTTGCAAACCTGCCCGCAGCGGCCGTTGGCTAAAGACCTGCCTTCAGCCGCCGTCAGCTACAGACCTGCCCGCTGCTGTCGTCAGTTGAAAACCTGCCCGCTGCGGCCGTTAGCTAAAGACCTGCCTTCAGCCGCCGTCAGCTACAGACCTGCCCGCTGCTGTCGTCAGTTGCAAACCTGCCCACTGCGGCCGTTAGCTAAAGACCTGCCTTCAGCCGCCGTCAGCTACAGACCTGCCCGCTGCTGTCGTCAGTTGCAAACCTGCCCGCTGCGGCCATCAGCTGCTGTTCCTCGGGCAAAAAACGGCCCCGAACGCGCAGTTTTTTACGCCTGGTCTTGGCCGGCTTTCATAGGTCAGGGATACCCGCGAACATTCTTGCTTTTAGCACATAAGGGCGGTCATGACTCGTGGGGACAATAATTGCGTTTCTATGAAGCTTTGAACTCGCAAAGAAGAACCAGTTTCATTTCCGGATGAGCAATATTTGCCACGAGAGTGAAGTAGTGTTTTAAACTATATTTTTTAAGAAAGTAGCTACTCCTGCTAACACTTCTTGTTCTGTTGGAACTTCTTCTCTAAATTGATATATATAGATTCCTGTACAATTGAGGTTATGAATATTTATTACATGGCTGGTAGCGCTGCTGCATGGAGCTGGAGAAGAGTGTTAATCCTCATGCGATTTCTAACACCGACCTTGTATCAATGGCGCCATTGCTGAAAACTCTGAAACGGTAGCTTACTTTGCAAAAAGGAACGTGAAAAGTGCTAACCACTTCTGTAAACAGTTGCTCTTATCATCATTTCTAATGAAATTCAAACGAAACAAAAACGTATTTTTTGAAGGAAGCAAACATGCATGTTGGGTGGGGGGGCATTTGCGAGGCACCCATTACTTCCTTCCCGTTCATCCAGCATTCCCAACTCCAGTATTTTACTTCCAAATAGAACCATAAGGTTTAGGGCGAAGTTCAAGTTTGCACCATGATGATTTGTTAAATCATAAATCCGAGCGAAACTATTTCCCGTAGTTTCATTTGACCAAGGCTTCTTCTTTATATATAATGATAAAAGCACAACCGGTGTTAACAGGAGCCCGCGTCAGATTGTGGTCCTTTGATTGTGGTCAAGAGTTTTCGCCAGTTCACGGTTTCATCCAAGTTTAAATTTTCGCTGCCTGAAGAGAAACAGACATCAAAACCATATGCGCCCTACCATTGGTGAAATTAAAAAAATTAATTAAATATTTGCGCGATTTACTCATCAACGCGTCGCTTTGCAATGCCCGAAAAAGATGCGTCGCTTTGCAATGCCCGTCGCTTTTGCAATGTCCGTACTACAGAAGCTGCCACGCTCGTTGCGTCGATTTTTTGCTATTGAAAATCATTAACATGACAGAAGGGCATTTTTTCTCATCTATTTAATAAAGCTACAGTACACAAATTAGATTGCTTAGGCATCGCCCCTTTAAAAATTTATTGAACATTCGCATTTCATCTGGTACTCCGACGTGAGACATCAACTTTTTTATTCTGCACATAACGTTAGCCACAACTTACAATAATATGCTAGAATTATATTGTACAAGGATCGGGCTTTAAAGGTGTTAGATCCAGCCTACGGTTTGTGGATCTGGAACATGGGATGGCTATTTCGTCAGTCATTGCTGCATCCTCTGCCTTCTCTTCGCTTTGTTGATAAATCTCATTTCTTTATATTTAACCCTTGGATGCACAAGTAAACTGGACCCTAAACTTCTCCACAAGTGGGTCATAAATGACCAATGACTTATAGTAAAATCTATATATTTTTATGCCAAGTTCGTCATTTGGGTTGAGAATAATGAGTTCTAGAATATTGAGTATTTTATTAAGAAAAAATGTTATTTTTATTAAGAAAAATTTTATTCAGATTTTATTATCAGTATTTTATCAAGAAAAAAAAACGTAATTGAGTATATATATGCAATGTCGTTATTTTTCATTTTTAGACATCTTCCAAAAAGAAAGTTTTTCAGAACAGTAATAGAAAATGATTGACTACATTAATTGTTTTTTTTTTGTTTCTGTACCTGTACGGTCATTGAGAGTGTTCATCTGTTTTCCCTCTCTATCCATCTTTTGAAAAAATATATGCCTTTCAGACTAACTACATTTTTCTGGCTCCAATCATGGCACAATGGTGCATTTCATTTCTCATACATATTCGCCATCTCATACATTCGACTTTTCGATCGTTATTACTTGGGTAGGTCTGGCACATTTTTTCTTCAGTTTGCCTTATCTGCTTCTTTCTTGTGGATTGCTTCTATAGTCGGGGTTTGCAGGTGAAGATAGCCTTCCAGTCTCATGTGTAGTGTGACTAAGTCCATTGGTAGGTAGATCTGTAAGGATGAGGTAGCACATTGATGATACCATTCACGGGGGCAATGGTATCATCTGTAAACTATATATGTAAGTCTGAACTGTGGCTTGATGGCCACAATCCTTGGTATGGAGTATGGCAAGTAAAAATTGTAAATGGGATTTATAAAAATCATTTGTTGGAGGAAAGACTGGAATATGAAATAAAAAATTCATTCTGGAGATATTTGAAAAAAATTAAGCACCTCTTTGATTCATACTAGACCCACTAGTGCATCTAAGGGTTATTATCTTTGTATTTCACCTAGCATAAAATAATGGCAACAATTTTGATAGTTATATATGGTTATCCGAAAGTGGCACTCTTATCGTGAATTTTCCATTAAGTAATGCATGGGGACGGGCAAATGTTGCTCGTTATATATGGCAAGCGTCGGAGGTTCGGTTCACAGTCGCGCGCCTACTAGAGCGGGCGACGCTTGGGTAGCACGGCTTGTTGCACAAATTTCGTAGCACTGTTTATTGTAGTTTATATTTACTCAGTGTGAGTGTTACCTGTTCTGCCGCTTGCTGGTGTTAGCTTTACTTTTCTATGCAAATGGAAATATATTTTCAGATTTACCGCTCGGATATTTTCGTTTAGGTGGTGAATTTCAGCAGAGTTTTGTTTTAGATAACTTCATTTAAAATATATGTGATGCAAAAAAAAGCAATAAAAATTTTTATTCTGAGTTATGAAGTTAAATAGATTATGAGCTATACAGAAGAGTATATTGAATTTTTTGGCGTTTACTTTAGAGGTTAACAAAATCAATGAAATTTTCATATTTTTAGCCTAATTCTGAAAACATTCAAATCGCCGTTTTAAGAAATACACATTTTTTACCTAAGCCTTCAAAACTTCATGGACCTGCATAGGACATGCGGTCAATTGGGTCAGATATACGACATTATATTGGAAAATTTGATTTTTATATTTTTTATTGCATTTACTATGCGATAAAATAATCGTTTTCAGTTGACGCAGAGATTCTTTTTTCGAGCTGCCAATTTGCTCACTTATTTTATTCCTGAGTTTAATAGCCATTGTATTGTATCCATAATAATTATTAAATATCAGCCAAGATTCATTCAATCCATCAATAATTCAATTAAATTCTCTTCTAAACCGATCCCTACCTTATTGGCCTCATTTCACAAACAATCAATATCAATTCAATACTCTTTTTCACAAACGAATTTCACAAACGGATGCAGTTACGCTGATTACAATAACTTTGAAGTAATTGTGAGACGTGGTATCGCATTCTTATCAACTCGTGGTTGTGATTGCATCTTAAATGCAAAAAATAGGCATAATTTACAGTTGAACACATTTGCATATTCATTAGAAAAAATGGAGTACATTTACAGTTGAAAAAAAGGGGTCATGGAAGTTTCACCGACTGCCTGGGACTAGCTTTAGATTTGATCATTTAAAGATGCAATATTTTTTTTTAATGGAGGAACTAAGGCTCACATATTTGCAACTGTTGGCTGAAGGCTGAACTTTAGATCGAGGCACAATAGCGATGCAAACGGCTGCTTGGTCATCATTTATGGAAGCCTTTATTAATGATATAAATTATGGCATTAGAATTACCATAATTAATTATTATCTCTGAAAATATGTTATAAAGACATAATTTATAATTAAGATAATTTAATATGTTATACAAACATAAATATTCTACAATGCATTCAAATTGAAGTAAAAACGCAAAAAATACATTATAATCATACATTCGATCGTTACAAAGTTTAAGAGTACATAATCGTGTACTCTCATCCGTCAAATATATGGCAATAATAGTGACAGGAATAAGTAAAATATATGACAATAAACAGGTAGATGAGCTACATAAATGATAATTCCGTTATTACCTACAGTAGTTCCTGGAAGTTGTTTAGCTACCACTCAGTCTATATGAGCCTTGAACTCATTTCGGAACGGTGCCTTTTTCTTCCATTGCTCGACTGCAGCAAAAAGCTATACCATCTTGCAAGATCTCTCCTGATTGTCAGGACGAATTGAACGTAAAATTAATCATGAACGTTCATAATGACGATACTCAAGATTTATGTTTTATGTTGATTATTTGTTTTGAAGATAGTAATATTGTTAATAATAGAGTTAAGACGTATATAATGCTATTTTTTTATGATATAATGTTAATATTTCTGAAAGTTAAATCTCATGTTCTCACTGCTAATTTCTTCACACAAAAAGAGGGAAAAAAGTATTTTTAAGTAGAATCAAGAAATATTCTCGATTTGAAATGCAATAATTATTAATATCGGATATAATTATAAGAAACAATGGAAAGGCAAGAATACATACTTAAATTTTTTTCGATGAGATTACTTCATTAATGAAGTAATAGATTATAAGCTTTTTGATTAATAGATATTAATAATAGATTAATAGATTATAAGCACCCACTGATTGAAGCTCAGTTAACTTCTCAGAAATTCTAGTTGGCTGAGAAATGCATTTAATAGATACTTTATTAAATTGAATAATCTGTGTACATAGGACTTAGACAGTGCGTAGCATAAACATAGGTTAAATTAAAAATTTAATGTTGTTTCTTCATCATCACATGCCTAATTGTAATTGTGATGCTTCATAATCGCATGTATTAAGTACATTTGCTGTGTACGTTAGTAGCGCAACTGGTATTTAGATATGCTATGTATATTGATTTTTTGCATTACAATGAAACAAAAACCAGAGTGTCTTGAAACAACTGTGTCAAGTTCAGCCAGGGTAGAAATCTCTCTTACAAAAGCGAGTCTGTGAGCCAGTTGACCGCGGCAAGGCACTAACCCTCTACCTGCGTGTGTCAAACGTACAATCGACTGATTAAGTTTAGGAACAAGTTGAAGGGATTAAACGATTAGGAGTAATATTTACGGATTAAATATTACTCCTAATCCTAGGATTACTCCTAGGATTAAAGGATTAGGAGTAATATTTAACTTAATTAATCAAATACACGGAAGAGCGTTAGTTGAGCTAGAATATTCTGTAACGTTGACCAATCGAAGCCGATATCAACTATCCAAAATTCGAGTGCCTAATGAATCACGTATTTCAGATTCTACAGCGGACAGAAGGGCGTGCAAAATATCTGCCAACAAGAAGAATTCCAGCTGCATCCAAGTACCATTTCAGTTGCTGTTGACAAAATAAAAGTTGATTGATACCATTAATAATACAATTTTAAAGTAAAATCCGGTTATCTATCATCGAAAGAAACTATTCACAGCTACCATGCACAGAACGTGGAGTGAATGGTTCTGGCTTCCTGAAGAGTTTACATGGAAAGACTTCGAGGAGGATGAAAAGCGGTTCCCAGATGTGAAGTATTTCTTCACTTGCGCACTGATACTGGGGATTTGTCTACTTCTCTTCAGAAATTTCATCCTCTTGCCACTTGTTTTTAGGCCTCTTGGTGTCAAAGCCGGTGTCCGTTCCAAGCCTTACCGTTCCCCGCCCCCAAATGAAGAGCTGGACGCTTTGTATACAATAAACAGAGCTCGTCCACCCAGAGATATGTTAGTGAAAACTGCAGCGAAAGTAGGCTGGCCGGAACGAAGAGTTGAAAGATGGTTAAGGCAGAAGGCTTTGTCGATGCAAATGACAACTTTGGAAAAATTCCAAGACTATGGATGGCAGTTTACTCACTACACTATTTTCTTCATCTCTGGTTTCTTTGTCGTTGTCGTCAAACCTTATTTCAAAGATCCAGAGGAATGCTGGAGAAACTTTCCTTTTCATCAGATTTCTAGTGACGTTTGGTGGTATAACGTGGTTTGTTGCGCTTTTTATGTCACTCAAACAATCTTGCTGCTACAACAAGAAAAAAGACACGATTTCTACCAAATGCTAGCTCACCACATGATAACTTTCTTTAATTTTTACTTCTGTTGGTCACTCAACGCGGTTCGGATGTTGACCATCACCCTCTTCATGCACGAAATTGCCGACATCCCACTTGCGCTTGGGAAGCTTTTCAGCTATTCTGGATATCAGAAAATAACTGATGCCTTAGCTTTTACTTTTGCTTTCTTGTGGATAGGTACACGCATGTTGTACTTCCCTATTTATGGGCTTCTGCCTACATACCGAGCAATGAGCATCATGGGCAGACACAACTGGCCGGGCTTCTTTTTAGGACAGCTCTTCGATTCCAGTTTACTGGTCCTACACATGATGTGGACCAAGGATTTAATCAAAGCGCTTTACAGGAGATTCACGGACATTGACAAGATCGTCGATGAGAGATCTGCAGATGAGCTTTCAACTGAAGATGAGAAGCAGAATTCTGAAATCATCGATAACAACAATGTAATTGCTGACAGGTACCTCGAAAATCATCAATCAAGCACCAAGAGGATGAACGGAGTTCACAAGCGCAAGGCTTTTCAATCATAGATAAATATTTCTTAGCTATAATAAGTTTCCGGATCTTGTTAATCATAAGCACTTCAGTATAATAAGCTAATACTGGGTGGGGTTAACATTCTGAAGAATAAGCACCCCAGTATAAATGTAAGAACCTAAACTAAGGTTAGTTCGTTAGCAGTAAGTTTCCTACTAACGTAAGGTAACCAAATTTGTTCGTATTATTCATTCAATTAAATTTGTTAAGAATACACACCTCGGTAATGTTCCTGATAAGAATAAGCACCCCATTAACGTCTGGGGTGCTTATTCTAAACAAGATCCAAGATTTCAAATAACTATTTCAAATAATTATTCAATGTCCAGTAGCATTTTAATCGCCCACTTGTCATGTAAAAATTTCCCAGGTCTCTGTTTCTGTCTCGCACATTTAAAACTAAGACTATTGTTTGTACGCAACTGGAATTTTGTTTCGGCGAAAAAAGGAAAAATAATTACGATCTAAATGCAATTAAGACTCATTTTTACCGGGTTTAGTTAACATTTTATTAATTTCTAATAAACAGATTTCATAACATTGTAGAGCATGCACTTTGTAGAGGCCATGTCAACAATTTCTGCTCATTTTTTATACAAGACATGTAGGCGCTTTATCTCCCGTGGGCTTTTGGGTGTGCTTCAACAGAGGCGATAAATGTAATATTTTTTGTTTCTTTTGCATTTTTGTATATATACAAATATATATAAATTTTTATATATCTACAAATATATATATATCTTTTTGTGTGTATACACATTAAATTACATTAATTTAAACCATAATTTTCATGAATGGCATGTTAGAACTACTCCAGCTGCAGAATATTAAGATGAATTCAAGATTTTCCAAAATATTATACATTGTAGGACAGAATTTCAAATATTGCTGTCATCCGCAAGAAACACGAGCGAACCAAAGCTGAGACCCGTTTTTGTTTTCATTTGTGTTTGTTAAAGTACAAGGGCGCTGATCTTCAATGCTCTGTCGAGACACATTTTATTAAGAGTTAAGCAGTTTAAAATCGGCATTTGTTTGCCCATTGTTACAAACATGTATATATAAAATGAGGATTATTGATGCGTATTATTGATACGTAATAGTAAACTGTAAATAGGTCTACGTTTATAAATATTGTAGGTATATTCAGTGAACTTATAAAATAGCAGCGTTTAACACATGGTAGGAACTATTGGGATGATCACGTCGTAACACACGTCTCTAATTATTGACGTGTTGGGACGGACTCCTATAGTCTTATACGTCTCTTATTGACGTGTCGGGACGGACTCCTAGTCTTACACGTCTCTTATTGACGTGTCGGGACGGACTCCTAGTCTTACACGTCTCTTATTGACGTGTTGGGACGGACTCCTAGTCTTACACGTCTCTTATTGACGTGTTGGGACGGACTCCTAGTCTTACACGTCTCTTATTGACGTGTTGGGACGGACTCTTCGTCTTACACGTCTCATATTGACGTGTTGGGACGGACTCCTAGTCTTACACGGCTCTTATTGACGTGTTGGGACGGACTCTTCGTCTTACACGTCTCTTATTGACGTGTTGAGACGGACAATTCATCTTACACGTCTCTTATTGACGTGTTGGGACGGACTCTTCGTCTTACACGTCTCTCATTGACGTGTTGGGACGGACAATTCGTCTTACACGTCTCTTATTGACGTGTTGGGACGGACTTCTAGTCTTACACGTCTCTTATTGACATTTCTGGACGGACTCTTCGTCTTACACGTCTCTTATTGACGTGTTGGGACATATGCTCTGTCCCACACGTCTCTTCTTGACGTCCATGAACTTGTTGAATCTGTGTGACGCTGTTGATATTTTCCGATCTATTTCGATGTTATTCATTAGACGTTTTATTACACGTTTGTTTTTGAAAATTATTTTATTCGGGGCCTTTAAAGCGACTTCGGAAAAATTTACACTCCACTAAATGCAGTAATTAAAAACCTCTACCATTCCAGTGTATTGGTATTGGATATGCTAGGTAGGCCGAATTAGATCAGTAAATACGTATAACGGTCTATGTTCACTTAGCTACCGATTTACCACCTACAACTGGTAGGTTAAGCCTGAAAAGCCGTCATTGATATGGCTGACGCAGTTAAAGACTTACAACTTTTTTCGATCTTACGGCCCAAGACAGGTGATGGTGGTAGAAACATTTGTGTTAATTTCCCAAATTTACTCGACGGTTATATGGATTTTTTACGGAAAGTTAAAGAAAAATTATTACCGAAAGGATTCAGCACACGAAGACATAAATGTGGGCTTCTCAAGCATTACAAGATTCAGCATAGTAAAAGTTACTGCGGTCAAACTCATCACTATTACCGAAATGTCCAGGAGAAATAACAGCTGTTTATAGAATAATTCTATCTATACAGATTAAAATTTGTAACAGACTTGCTTGTCTCTCCTTTAGTTGCTGACGATTATTAGCCACATAATGATTAAAGTATTATCATTCTATTGTGGAATATAAATGACGATCTGTAAAAATATTATTTGAGTAAGATATAAGCTACTATTAAGGGAACTGTAGATATGCAAATAATATTTGTAAAAATTTCAAGAAATATTCTAACTAATCAACTTTAATATCTCATAGCGATCAGTCATTACACAAAAAATTGCGACCATCTCTTCACTTACGATCATCAAAACTGAGGATTTGAGCGCAGGGCTGTATAATTTGATAACCGAACCGGGCAAACGTGGGATCAGGAAAATTTGTAAAACAACTATCCGTTAGTTTGAAAAGAATTGTTTAAAAACATGGCTCTTATATGTGCATTGTAGCCATTGCTGAAAGCAAATATGAAGATGTCTCAAGCCAAGCAATGTTAATGAATTGAAAAAAACGATCGTTCAAAATGCTCGAAGCTATAATAGTCAATTATCAGTCAACATGACCTACTAAAATGTCATGCTAAAAGTGATTTTTGCAGATTAGATAGTTGTCGCTGATTTACAAGATATTGAGATTAAGGATTCTGATGCTTCTTCAACAGAGCCAATGTTTTCATTTGGGACTAATTTGACCTGATTTCTACCAGCCTTAATCGAAATAGATGAAAAACATTCCTATATCAACATCCGTAATAATTATAAATGAACCTCGTATAGGAATGCTCAATTGAATTCTTAAACTGATCGGGGAATGATAATAAAAAACATTCCTATATCAACATCCGTAATAATTATAAATGAACCTCGTATAGGAATGCTCAATTGAATTCTTAAACTGATCGGGGAATGATAATAGGGACCACAATAAACCTGTATCCTAAAATGGCCAGTGATTAGTATCAGGGATCGCAATATTACGTTCAGTTACAGCAGCGTGATCCTAATTGCCGAGTCTCGTGTATTGTACAATTACCGTGTTTAGATTTTGTTAGCTATATAACCGGACTACCGAGCATATATTTGGCGTTAAAACATAATAACAGAACTTAGCCTAAACTATTACAACTTGACCAAGACTCATAAAATTTGCATTATCTACTCTATACCTGATCGGGCAATGAAAAAAAAAATCGTAAACCCGGATTATATCAATTTCGATTATTTTACCACAACTTTTCAGGTCTATCATGATTTTTTTGGAGTTTCGGTGGTAGATTTCTGATTTCTGCTTTAAAATGGTAAAAATTAGATTTCCAAATTCAATGCACTCCGATACCGTGATTACAGTACATTCCAGAATGTTACAGCACATTCCAGAGTATTATAATGATTTTCAGTATCAGGCTGTACCGGTTTTCCTATCTGTTGGTCTTTAGACGGCGCACTATGCAGACATGACCATTCGGTCTGCACTAGGCATCAGCTTGTAGTCCTACATGCAGCTCAGCAGTTTTGAATTGGGCCCACAGTTTCCTATGCACTTGCTTTTACGCGCCTTGCTTTATTAATCCGAGTTATCGGCCTACGCGCGGGGAACTTTAACGAGCGTCGCTTTGCGAACAGCAAATAAATAGCGCAGGCTGAAATAAATAGCTTGGCGGTTGGTGTTGGGGGATCCGTAGAGAGCAACGATCTTCTCACTGAACGAATGTGCTGTAACATTCTGATAAAAGTCTAGGAGTATAATTGTTCTCATTTAGTGTGGAAATAGATTCCAATCACCTGAGCACGTTCCTGTAATAATGCCGATTCTTGAACTTTTCGTGACTTGATTCACAAGGGATCCGGCCTTTGGAACCCGATCTTTCCATAGCTGACGATTGATTGAGATAGCTGCTGGAGCAAACGCTAGACACAGCTTCTGGCAGATCGTTTATAAACGCAACGAATAGAATAGGCCCGAGAACACTGCCTTGTGGCACGCCGCTGCGCACTGAAGATATAGATTTAATTAGTTACAATAAATATATTTGCACTGGTTAATAATGGATATATTTTTCAAATTACTGAAAATTAACCAACTTTTGATTATTGAATGGAAATAAATCTTTTTACGTTTGAAAATAGAGATATAAGCATGGCTGGCTAAAAGTTTTTACTTCATGATCAATCATGTGATAGAGACTGAATCCACTGATTATTAGAAAAAATGCTGAAAACTGATATTAGAAATTAGAAGCATTAATACCATTATAAAGTGACTTAAAATACAGATATAAACCACTATTGTGGTATGGGCCTATGGCTTCATATAAACAATGAAACAGATACCCCTAATTTTTTTTTTCTTAATAGGATTTTCTATGATATGCATAGAAAACAAGGGTTTCCCTGTTAACTATAAAATTGCATTCTTCCGTGTGGGACTCGGTGCGAGGAAAATTCTTTAATAATACTCATAAATTACTACGACAATCATCTTGATTACACTCGAATAGGGGTTTGAATTCTTTGTGATTTGTTCGTTCATAACATTTCTTCTCGCTTCGAGTCACCGACATGTGGAACAGCCTACCTGATAGCATCGTTGACGCTCCGAGTATGAACATCTTCAAAAACAGACTAGACGAAGCTATGCAGGAGCATATGTTCAGTCTTAAAATGCCTAGCAAATTACGGACCAGGCAATAAGTCCAGCAGCTATCTCAATCAATCGTCGGCTATGGAAAGATCGGGTTCCAAAGGCCGGATCCCTTGTGTTTACAATACAAGTCACGAAAAGTTCAAGAATCGGCAAGAGGCCATGGGCCTATTTCTTCAACGCCGACACTTCTATTCTATTCTATATTATAATCTCTAACGTGATTTGCTTACGTGAAATATCGAAGTTGCAATGAGGCGCATGCCGGAGGCCAGCGCCAAACTGCCAAACTTCACACTTAGTTCATATTTCTTTCCGAAGTAAAATCGCTAGAGAGCATAACAGCCTATAAAGTCAAGTGCTCAAAGACACAGCGCCGTGTCATATTTACAGACACAAAATAAGCTTGTTAAAAGGAAGCATGACACTACTGCAACTGGCCAAACCTTTTCAGGCCCGCCTAACCTACGCAAGCCACAACATTTCTCCACCCAAAACAAAACAAAGCGGACCTAAGCTAACCTCATTGGCTGCAGGAAATTTAATAGACGGTCTAAGTATGCTGGTTGAGCCAGTCGTTGGCTGTTAAAGGTTGTGAGCCAGGACAGCATGAGTAGGTTAGGCCAGAAGAGGTTAGGCTGGAGTAGGTACAGCCGGATAAAGAACTGCCCGCTTATGAGCGAG